CCCCAAAACCCCAAAACCCCAAAACCCCAAAACCCCTAAATAATTTTGCCCAGTTCCGGTTAATAATATTTTATCAAGCAATCATGAAATTTCCCAAATGTGAAATCCGAAAAGACTGAGGGATTGTAACCCATATGATCAAGGGATCTTCTGACAGCATATTCGATGAAGATATTTTTGTATGAGAGAGGTGCGCCATCAACCTTTATGTTGACAAAGACTCCATAGAAATCACTGATGTTGAAACCATACTAGATTGGCTGAACTTGTCAGAGAATAACCTAGCAAAAATTGATAATTTCAGAGAGTCCCATAGCCTTGATGGATTGTGGAAGAAAATGCTGCCTGATTTAGAAGCATATACTATAAAAAGCATTGAACTCAAGGATGATCTTGAAACAGCGGAGAATACGAATGATTGGGAAAAAATTCCTAAAATTCAAATTCAATCAAAAATGTTACTTAGCTCGATTTTTAAATCAAAGCTTTATAAAGAATACATCAAGCAAATAAATTATATGAAATTCTGAGATCTGGAAGCTAAGAAGAAACTCATAAAAAGCTCTTATAAACCACTTGAGAAATCAAAAGATATTAACGAAAAATCTAAAAATTACAAAATTGTTGAACAATCACAAGAAGCAAAGAACTTCTGCCAGAAAAAAGAAGATCTCATCTTCCAAAAAGATGCTGAAATCAAAAAGAGAGACCAGCTTACTGAAGAAAAAGCAAAGATGATCACCAAGAAAGGCAGCCAAATTAAAAATCATCAACAAACTAATGATCAAAAGAAGCAAACTATTGAACAGAAAGAACAACAAATTTATCAGCAAGATTGCCAAATGGATAAGCTTGCCAATGAAAGATTTATGTTCACGATTCCAAGCCATACACTGAGCAACCAAAAGAGTAATCTTGAGCAGGAGCACAGCAAGAAAGACCAGAACATAAAAGAGCTTCAGAAAAAACTCGACGATTTAGAGAAGAAAGATAAGATACAACAGAATATTATCGAGCAGTTACAGAAAATGACAACTCAACAGAAAGAGGAAAAAGATAGGGACTCAACTCATGAGCATCAAAAAGATTCTTTCGAAAGCAAAAACACTTCAAAATTGTTGAAAGATCAGGAAAATAATAAAGTTGGCAATATGGAAAAAGTTCTAGAACAACAGTTAGCAATATGAAAAGATACGCAGGCTTTGATTGACACTCTTTCGACATCAAACAAAAAGAACCAGAAGTTTCCCCTTAAAGAATTCATGTTGATGAAAGACACTGAAGTGTGAGACTCTAAAGGAGTAACTCAAACAAATGTTGATCTTTCCATTATAAAAAGAACTGTCAAAGAAGTTCTCTATCCTACTTCTAAACCAAACAGGAAAAAGAAAGAAAGCTCAAAATAGAGCCAAATGAAGAAAATCTTTCTGAAAAAACTCAATGCGAGTCAAAACCCGAGTCAACATCTATGTCTGTAACTTCTATGGATAGCATTTCAAAATCTTCACCGAATGCTGATGAATCTCAAGTTGTGTCTCCAGCCTTAGCTGAGTCAATAAAGAAGAGAGTAATAGATATCCTTATCGACATTCCTAGCAAAATTCAAGAGAGACATAGAAGGGGCTTAGATGCAATTCTGAAAGAATTATCAAGCACAAGTCAAAGAAGAGTGTTCATAAACGCAATTTTAGCAAAAGCCATTGAAGAGAAGGGTAGAGAGGAACTGTATGGATCAGTATGATGAGGACTTAGAATAAGAGAGTCCAATAGAATCCAAGAGATGAAGAAACAACATAGCCCAGAATCTGACGCTCATCTCCAACAATGGAATTTTAAAGAAGAACTCTACCAAGAAATCCAGCTAATCTTTATTAAAATTCTAAAAGATTTGCCTCAAGATGTCGAATCAACCATCAAACAAAGCAAGAGTACTCAAAATAGCCCAAATAATAAACCAGACTACAGTCCACTATTCTCTTATCTCAAATTGGAAGGCAAACTATATAGATGTAGTTTCTTTCATGCCTATTTTGAAATCGAAACACTTCTTGTCTTGTTAGGAAATGAAATGTATCATTGTAAACTTGAAACAAATGATACTACAATTAGAGCAGCGTGCCTTTTCTTACAAGATATCGGGCCCACACTAGATGAAGAAATCTCTTCAAACTTAAAAGATGATGCTAGTGAGAGATTAAAATCTGCATTTCTTAAGGTTCATAAGATTTATCTCCAGTTGTTAGCTATTATTGAAAGCTATAAAACCCGGAATGATATAACTTCAGAGTCGAAACAATTAATCACTGTGACTCTTGAGCTCAAAAAGTCTGGCTGGAAAGAAGAAAGCACCTCTGCACCATCTCCTCAAAAGACTTCATCTCCCGATGAACTAAAGCCTTTATCATCTGAATTTGGATTTGATTCGCCTGTGGCTTTTCATACAGTATTGATGAACGTATACATAAACTGGGTGAACGATTCTAAATGTAATCCTTACTTTCTTGCTACATTCAAAAACAGTCCTTATGGAGAACAAATTCTGTTCTTTTATCTTAAGTCAATATATTTCTTGAAGAATGAAGAATATGTGCACTTTCCTGACTATTTCCATATTCTCTACAAAAATAATATATTTTCTGTTGAGGATGTAGAAAATGGGTTTGCTAGCTTCTTTCAAGCTCTTCCTCAGTTATCAATAAAGCTTTTTAAGCTTGATAATCATATCTGGGATTTGCTCTATTTCATTTTCATCTTCTGTAAAATTGGTGATTTTGAAAAAGTTTTGAAAAAGACTAATTTTGAACAAATCTCAAAAACGAAAAATGCCTTCGGATGAATAGATATCTTCTTCGAAATATTCGCTAAATTCCTGCACAAGATCCAACTAAACCACGACGAGAAAACAATGCTGCACTGCTACACATCCTCTTCCATAAAACAATACTGCTCAGTCCTAAAACCTCTTATCCAGCATCCTCACTTATTCAACAACCTTCTACTCCAAGGCATTCCATTAAAAATCATAAGTTTAATAAATATTTCTTCTGCTTAAACCCTTGTCCAGTTCAGTTTCCCAATCCCCCAAAGGGGTTTTGGGGTTTTGGGGTTTTGGGGTTTTGGGGTTTTGGGG